GGCTCAGTAGTAGAGCTCTTGCCTAGCATTTTTGAGGCCCACATAAAAACAAAGGCACTGTGTCCATCTACAACTAAAGACATACATATATATATATATAAATGCTCCAGTTAGCTCCCACCCCAGGGCCTTTAGACTGCTGCTTCCTGTCTTCTCATCTGTGCAAGTCTGCTTCTTAACCTGACCTCAGTTCAAGGGTCATATCTTCAATGAGGCCTCCCTTACCGCCCTGCCTCCTTGTTTGAGGATACTGTTTGTTTCATTCAGGCACTGATCACTTACCAGTTCTCTTGTCTTTCGTCTCCCCCCTACCATTTAGGGAACTTGAGTATCTAACATAGGTCCCTGAGGTCAAGTACCTTGGGTATCTTATATTATTACCATATTTTCCCAGCACAAAGGCCAATACATGATGGGGCTCAGTAAATTGAAAGAATGAATAAATCTCTAGGCTTGGGGAAGCAGAATGACTTACTCCTGGCTCTGAGTTGGAATCAGTAAGGCCTAGGCCAGGGCTCTGAACCTCCTTCGGGTCAGACCCCAGCACACACTCACATCCACCCCCACAATAGCACAATTTGATAGGAGGCAGAGCTTTGAATAGCTCTACTTTAAGTCGGGCAACAAGGCTATGGGAATGAGAGCTCAACAAACCCTAAGCAACGGGGAGTCGGAAATTATTTGAAAAATTACCATTCTTGAAAGAAAGTAAGCGGGCTTTCAGCAACACTTTGCAAGCAAGAGGCATCATGTGCACAGATTGTAAAGAACCATCAGTGAGCCAGTCCTGGGCTGGGTATGACTTTATCCAGACAGCTCCGGGAGAGGAGGTAATGATCACTGATGTTTTATAGGTGAGAGAACAGGCATTTCACTTTTAGCTGTGCTTTGTGAGGCCAGGCTGCCAGGTCCTAAAGGCAACAATGGCCATAATGGGTCATGTACCTGGGGCAGGGCCAGCAACCCTTTTGGGCCTTGGTGTCCTCAGCTATAAGCTAAGTGGGTTGACCTTGAATGGGGCTCACAAATTCAAATGTCTACAGGTCATCAAACCCCTTTGGCCCATATCTGCCATGTGGAGACTGGGCACAGCACTGTAAGAGATGCCAAATGTGCAAAAGCTAGAAATCTGGATTTAAAAAAAATACATAAAACCTCTGAACTCTCTAATGAAGTCAGTTCACAGTTTCAAGAAATACTGTGCAGGTATGTCTTTCCAGCTAACAGACGGTGGCACACAGCCTGTGACCACTGGAGCAGCTGCCTTGAGACCTCTCATCTCCTTTGGAGTTTCAGCCCCTTTCTCCTGCTCCCAAGGAGGCCCGGCCATAAGAGCCTCCCCTTTCAAAGAAAAGGTAGGATCCTCAGGGAATCTTATAATGGGGGCAGCCAGAAGCACTTCTGGTAATGGCTTAGTTCCCACTAGGCAAAGCAGGGAAAGCCCCTCTGGAAGGCCAACTCTGGTTTCAGGCTCTTGACATCAGGGTACCACAGTGACAGGACAGCTCCCTCCAGAGTGCAGATGGCTATCCCCGAGTTCATGGCCTAGAACAACTGCCTGAGAGGGACTTGCTTGGTTCCCAGGGCAGTGCCCCTACCCCACCATCCCCTGCCAGCTGCTCCTTGGGAGAGGTATTCACATCCCAGTTGGGGTCAAGGGTGTGAGGGGCTTTCCTGACATTCTCATGCAGGAGGAAATGGGGGAGAGGGTTAAAAAGTGTCCTCTAGACAGACTCACAGTTCAGGGCCACTGCTCAGGGGATCGGGGGTTGCTGGCTGAGAGACTCCAGAAGCTCCAGGGCCTCTCTTGTTGCCTAGGACTGGATGTGAACTGGCCTGGCACAAAATTCTTCAGCTACATCAATCTCTAACTATTCAGCATGTCTAGTGTTCCCACTACACACAGGAAAAAAACCTTGAGGCTTAGAAAAGTGAATCACCCAGGGTCGCACAGCCCATACTCGGAATCACCAGGCTCGGAGCCAGGTGATTTGGAACAGAGCCAGTACTTTATCAACTGCTTAGCTACACTTCCAGGCAGGGGGTTAGGTGCTAGTTGCCAGGGCCTGTCTGAGATCTTGGTCAGGCCAGGTCCTCCATAAGGGCACAAATGGGCCCTTATTCCTTGGGTCCTTAAGCAGGGTTTCACTATTTCCTTGGTGGTTGGATGGTGAAAGCCTTTGGCTTTGCTGGCCATGAGGAGAGGGGTCTGCTGCCCCCAGGACATGGCTAAAAAAGCAACTTCCTGCCTGTGACACTGCTGCCTACTGCCCTATTTGGCCAGGAACACCAGGAGCCCTGACATGGGCTTCCCAGCCAAAGAAGATTTCTTCAGTTTGGTGGAGTCTCACCATAGCCTGCAAAGTAAGGCCTACAGAAGTGGAGTCACGTGTCCCAGGCCACACAGTTGGTAGGGGGCTAGACTGGAAAGAGGACAAGAAACCTCTGAATTCCAGGGCTGGGGGTGGAGGACTCAGAACTAATAAAGTAATTACAGTGATTTCCAAATCAGGTTCTAGGGATTCCCAAAGGAGCCTCAGGAAGGCTCTGCAGACTCCCACCTACTCCAGGTCCCGTGAAGTAGCTTCATTTTCCTTTTTTCCATCATAAAAAAAAAAAAAAAATCCTCATATGGTGATTTTTTTTAGTTTTTTTTTTGTAGTTGTAGATGGATAGCATGCCTTTAATTAATTAATTAATTAAGATGTTTGTTTTCTAGTTGTAGTTGGACACAATAGCTTTATTTTATTTTTATGTGGTGCTGAGTCTCGTCGAACCCAGCACCCAGCATGTGCTAGGCAAGAGCTCTACCACTGAGCCACAACCCCAGCCGCTTTATTTATTTATTTTTTATGTGGTGCTAAGGATCAAATCTAGTGCCTTACATGAGCTAGGCAAGCACTCTGCAATTGAGCTACAACCCCAGCCCCTTATATGGTATTCTGAGGCCCACTAGACTAATTTAACCTCTCATAGTACACATGGGAAAATTCGGGAGAGGCAAATGCACTCACTTAGGATCAGGTGGATCTGGGCTGAGTGTGAGGTATTCCTTGTTCCCTCCAAACTGAGAACACCAGCTCAGGCATTGGGGGAAGGGCAGCCACTTGTGGCTGAGCCCTGCCTCCTCGAGTCACTGACTGGGGACCCCCAAATAGCAAGTTGTTTTCCAAAAACCATTTCTACTACTACTTCTACCATATCCAGTAAGCAACTCAAGGACAACATTCACCCCTCACCCATCCAGTGCTGGAACCTGCCAGATATCAGCTTAGTTATCCTCAGAGACCTATTTGCAGTGTCTGGTCTACCCTCTGGGACACCTTCTTATCACTACCCCTGGTGATGCCAGCTCCTAAGCTGCGGGCTTTGTCTTGTATATCGAAGCTATAACTACGTGTGGGGCCACTGGTGAGTAGAAGATGTCCACAGTTATGAGCTGCCTCGGCTCCAGCCCAGTGCAAAAGCTGGACATGTACAGCACATCTGGCCTGCTGAGGGAGTGACGGGAAGAGATTGCAAGATTTGGCTTTTGCAGTTGTTGTTATTATTTTGGCACTGGGGATTGAACCCAAGGGTATTCAACCACTGAGCCACATCCCCAGCCCCCTCCCAGCTTTTTTTATGAGGCAGGGTCTCACTACATTGCAGGCCTTCACTAAGTTCCTGAGGCTGGCCTCAAATTTGTTATCAGACTCTTGAGTGGTGGGATTACAGGCATGTGCCACTGTGCCTGGCAAGATTTGGCTGTTTAAATACTATTGGGCTTTTCAAATATTGGTTTTAAAAGGTCAGCCTTGTTGCTACCTTTCCAAAGCCCTGAGGTCCCTGGAGACCAGGCTGGTAAGTGCTACTTGGAAAGAGCCTCAAAAAAATACCCACACTTCTGGAGAGCTGACGTCAAACCCTGGTGATGGGGTCACAAAAGTTGGGGTTTTCAAAAGCTGCCGGAGACCTTGTGTCCAGTGTGCAAAGCCAGACACCACCAGACTGTATGCACCTCGATTGCTAGCCTCTTTCATCATTCTGAATGACCAAGTGCATCCCAGAATAGAGAGAAGGTGTTAACAGGCTCATTCACTGTGCTTGGAGTGACAGGTGGTATATCAGGTGACAGAAGCAAGAGCCAAGAACCCTGGGTAGCCAGAGAGATGGACTGAAAAGAACAGCACAGGACTGAATGGGGAAAACCATGAGTTCAGTTCAGGTCAGCACAAGCAATGCTGCTCGCTCTGTGTCATTCAGGCCCAGACCCAGAGACACAGGAGGGGAGAAGCCACCTCCTCAGATCTTACATTAACATCCTGGGTTTGGGGCTGGGGTTGTAGCTTAGTGGTATAGTTCCTGCCTAGCACATGGAGGCACTGCATTCGATGCTCAGCACCACATAAAAATAAAGAAATAAAATAAAGGTATTGTGTGCATCTACAATTTTAAAAAGTTGTGATATATAGATATATAAAAAAGATCCCAGGTTTAGGAGTAAAGCCACTAAAAAAAGAAAAGCAGTATGTGGAAAAGTGCCTTAGTAACTTTGCTATCACAGACACATCTGAGGCTACCCCGACAGAGGAAGGCACAGGACCAGAAAGGGGCTGTCCCCACTGAATTTATGGACAATACTGTAGTGCTGCTGGCAATTCTAGGACAAGGGATGTGGTCAAACTGGAGCCTGAAGAGAAAAGGGTAACTTGCACAGGGAGGAGTCTCCGATCCATTCCACCATTCCACTATAGCAAGAGCTTATTTGCAGAGGGAACATCATGCACCGTACCCTGGGCTGGCATCAGGGACTAGGATATGTAGTTCTTGTCCTGAAGAAACTCATAGTAAAGTGCAGAGATGACAATGACATTTCTCCTCTTGACTGGGCACCATGGCAGCCATATGAAGCAGCCTGAGAAAGCCTGGAACTGATTCAACAAATGACATCTGTGACATACTTATCACAAAGGGGGCATGTGACAAGTCATGCCTGGTATAAATGGGAGGGGTTGCTTGCAGAGACTGGGCTGGATAGCCTGGAGGAGGGCCAGCTGGGAAAGGCATGATTACTGTCCTCAAACACCTAGAAGAGCATCGCATGCGGCCCCGGGGGAAGGGGCTGTTAGGGGGAAGCAGACGACTGCTCCTATAAAAAAGGGACTTTGAAGAGGTGGAGCTGGCCAAAGATGGAAGAGGGGCCTAGAAGACGGCCAGCAAGGCAGGACACAAGCACAGTGGATGCTGGAAGGGGACTCAAGCCCCCACAGGTGTGACCCTCAGGATTCTTCCCAGGCCTGAAATGCTTTCTTTGCCTTCTTATTTCATATCCAGCTCTGGATGTGATATTGGACATCATCTTTGTGTATGTGACATTCATAGTTCAAACTTTTTTTTTTTTGCCTCCAGACAACTGCTGCCAACAAGCAGAAAAGGAGAATGTTTATGCAGCCTAGTCACAAGGGAAATGACATGAGGACATGAGGACCTCAGACGGCAAAATCAAGGCTTCAACACCTTTGGGGAATCCACAGCACAAGAGCCCCTATTTAAGTTCAACCCCAGAATGAGATCAGCTGACACTTGTTCACTCCTCCCTGCGCCCAGGAAATACTTGGTTATGTGTTACTGACTGAAGATTTGGAGTCCCTGTTTCCCATGTTCACTCAGCATCTGACTTGGGCTCCCTGGGCCTCAATTCCTCCATCTATAAAATGAAAGTGATAAAGTGATACTGGCTTACCACGAGAACTATCTAAAGCTCCTGTGAGAGTTCCTGAACAGTCAGGTGGGAAAGGGCCTGGTGGGTGAGGGACCAACACTAGGATAGCTTCAGGGGCCCCAGAGCTGCTGGGGATTTGGCAGATCAGAAACCAGGAATTCTTGGCCTGGGCAGAGGTGAAGGGTCATAGTCTCTCCAATGGGCTGTGCTGAGGAAGGTTCAGTGTCCTGCCTGAGTACACAGCTATCCACCCCACCCCACCACACCATGCTTGTAACACTTTGGTGTAGGGACCACAGGCCTCCTGGCCTTGCCAACCATCTCTCCAGCTTCTTGTCAACACCCTCTTCATGCCAACACACTATCTCAGCTTCCAGGTACTGGCACAGGCTGTGAACAGCCTTCTTCCTCACTAATTCTGCTTCTTTCTCTAGGTCTGTGCCAGCATCACTCCTCCAAAAAGCCTTCCTACAGTCTCCCCAGGACCCTCTGTGGCTCCTCACTGGGCTAGCACCCGTGTTTAGGTGACCCACAGCTCCCTGTCCATCACTGTGTGTTTATACCTATTTAATGTTCCTGCATCTGCCTTTAGACCCTGAGCTTCCTGAAGGCAGGGACCATGTGGTTCACATTTCTAACTCCATCCCCGGACCAGAAGAGGCACCAGGTAAATGCTTGCTGACACTTGTGAGGTAGGACTCCATCTCTAACTTGGCTTTGGAAGACTCTGAGGACTCAGCAAGTAGAGCCTGTGAGAGGGGGCTTGGTGTGCAGAAGACAGAGGAGAATGATCCAGCCATGACTGTGCTACTCCATCATACCCCCATATCCCTCATTGCTCAATTCTCCTCCCAAACACTTCTGAAAGCACAACACGATGCATTAAGGAACATTTCTTTGAAAGATCATTAGTCACCCCTCCTGTCCATAATACCCTGCCCCGACATGGCACAGTGTTAGCCACACCCTAAGAACTATCTAAATATTATTGACTAACAAGCCTAGTTACCAGGTATTTGCCATCTGTTCAAGAAATGACTATTGCAGAAGTCCAGTCACTATCTGAAGTCCTTATACTGCATCTTATATTTGATCCCCACAAAAAGATAGTTTCACCATCTACCCTTGTGTTGCTAAGGAAACAGCCTCAGAGAGGTTGAGGGCTCTGCTCAGCATCACACAGCAAAGTCATACTCCATCTGTTAAGTGAATGCAAACCTTACAGGTTTCAACCTCCAGGACCCAATCTTCATGGTATTCAGTTTCACAAGAGCAAAAATACCAGCTCGTGTCAGTAAGACTGATACACACAATCCTACAGAGCTTAGAAGTCTTAAAATGTTAAGTTTGCCCTTCCTATAAGCAGGTGGGATGTGGCAACATTACACTTTCACAAAGACCCTAAGCTCAAGCCAGCATCTCGAGGGGCACCTGAAGAAAGTGGATTTTACCTTAACAACTTCTATCCCTCTAAGGAGGTCGTCTGCCCTGATATTTTTACCAACACACTTTCCCAAGCTTCAGGCTGTCCTGTCAGACCCTTTTCTACTCTCACAAAGAGACCTGTGACATCACTTGCCCCTCAAACAGTCTGTTCTCCTCTCAGGATTGCCACCCATTGGTAAAAGTGAGGAGCTGCATTAGGTTGGGGGTGGCACCAGGGGATGGCATTCAGGTTCCACCTGGCACATTACTTCTGGTTTCCTGCCTGTGTTGAGAAGACTCCTAAAAGTGTGACCAGGCTACGTGGGAGTGCTGTGAGTAACTGGTGCTGCCACCATAGGTCCAATATTAAGAGTAATTGTCAAGTGCAATGTACTTGCTATCACTAGGCAAGATAACCGCCACATAAACACTTTAAGATGCTGTTCTGAACAATCAGTGAGGTGAATAGAGAGCCTACTAATTTCGAGCAAATTTTTACCACATGCACGCCAGACAGAGCACTAATTTCTAGGATGTATAAAAAAACTAAAAAATCTTAACACTAAAAAACCAAATAACCCAATCAATAAATGGGCCAAAGAAATGAACAGACACTTCTCAGAAGAAGATATACAATCAACAAATAAATGAAAAAATATTCAACATCTCTAGCAATTACAGAAATACAAATCAACGCTATTCCAAGATTTCATCTCACTCCAGTCAGAATGACAGCTATGAAGAATACAAAAACAGTAAGTGTTGGTGAGGATGTCGGGGAAAAAGGTATACTCATACATTGCTGGGGGGGACTGCAAATTGGTGCAGACAATATGGAAAGCAGTATGGAGAATCCTTGGGAAACTGGGAATGGAACCACCATTTGACTCAGCTATCCCACTCCTCGGTCTATACCCAAAAGACTTAAAAACAGCATAATACAGGGACACAGCCACATCAATGTTTATTATCGCACAATTCACAATAGCTAAATTGTAGAACCAACCCAGATGCCCTTCAGTAGATGAATGGATAAAGAAAATGTGGTATATTACACAATGGAATATTACTCAGCATTAAAAGAATAAAATCATGGCACATTTGCAGGTAAAATGGATGGAGCCAGAGAATATAATGCTAAGTGAAATTAGCCAATCCCAAAAAACCAAATGCCAAATGATTTCTCTGATTTAAGAATGCTGATTCATAAAATGCTGTGTGGGCAGGGAGAATGGGAGGATTAAATGAACTCTAGATAGGACAAAGGGGAAAGGGGGAGGGAGTGAAATGGAGGGGGTATAAGGGTAAGAAAGACAGTAGAATGTGATGGTCACCATTACCCTAAGTTCAGGTATGAAGACACGAAGGATGTGACTCTACTTTGTGTACAACCAGAAATATGAAAAATTGTGCTCTATATGTGTGATATGAATTGTAATGCATTCTGTTGTCAGAATTTTGCAATTTTTTAAAAATTTTAAAAAGATGCTGTTCCTTTGATGCAGAATCACCATCCCTACCAAAACCTTTACTTCTGCCCCCATCTGCCTTGCAGGTTCAACAATGCAGGAGCTTCTCAGGCAATGTTTTAAATACAATAATGATGGGAAAGCAACCTCTAAAAAGTCTACTGTTCTTTGAAAGACTGACCAGCAAGGAATACTAAACCTACTGAGTAAGAGTAGCTGGGTTTCAACCCAGTGTTGGCAGTTAAGTGCTACATGATCTTGGACAAGTCACCTTACTTCTCAGTCTCTATGTCTCCTAGTTTCATTGCATTTTACCACACAGGACACTAAATGAGGATTCTCAAGGCTGCAAAAAGTTTATTACTGTCTCACTGATTCTGGGCAGTGTTGTCCCATTTCCCAGCAGAGGAAGCTGAGGCTAAAAGTAGAGGGACTCGCTCTAAATCCTACAGCAAATAAGTGACAATTGGAGGTATTATGCCTGGTCCTACGATTAGATCCATGGTCTTCCCTAACCCATCTCCTGCCTCCATGGTGAAATTAGCCAATCCCAAAAAATTGGTGGCGGGGGTGGAAGGGTGGGGTTGGGGTGGTGGGTGTTTGCGGACAGGTTCCTCACAGCACCAAGGGCTTTAGGAGCAAGGCTGCCTCTGGAGGAAGCCCTCCCAAGAGATCATCAGTCCTTTAGCAGTTCTGCTGGAACACAGCCACACACAAGCTCAGCTTTGCAGTGTGCATTAACTTGGAGAATCATCTTCCTAAGAGTTAATTACTCAGAGATACCCCCAACAGCTTTTCAAATACATATCCTTAAAAAGGGCTAGCGAGGGGCTGGGGTTGTGGCTCGGCGGTAGAGCACTTGCCTCTCACATCCGAGACCCTGGGTCCAATCCTCAGCACCACATACAAAAATAAATAAATAAATGGGAAAAAAAAGGGCTAGTGAATGAGGCACCTGGAGTAATCAAATTTACAGAGACAGAAAGCAGAATAGTGCTTGCCAGGGTGTGGTGTGGGGAATGGAGAAAATGTTTAATGTGTACAGTTTCACTTTGGGGTGGTGACAGCTGTACCACAAGAGAAAATACTTAATGCCACTGAACTGTACACTTAAAAATGGTTGAAATGGTAAATCTTGTTATGTATATTTTGCCATACTATTTAAAAATCAGACTAATGAGCAGTTCACTAATGAGCAGCTTCCCCAGCCACCCTGCATTGGCTACAGGCAGACAGATACCTCCTGACTACCACACCCTTGTGCGGGGCAACAGTCACATCAAGAAGCGTGGGAAGCTCATTTTACGATGAGCCCCAACAGTTATCAAATTGCTTTGGTTTTTCTCACTGCAAATCCCTATGTCACAAAATAAAATATTTAAAACCACTTTAAGCATTTTTTTTTTAAGTATCGAGGATTAAACCCAGAGGCACTCTACTACTAAGCTCTATTTATTTATTTATTTTTGAGACATGGTCCCACTAAGTTGCTTAAGTTCTTACTAAGTTGCTGAGGCTGGCTTTGAACTTGCCATCCTCCTGAGTTATTGGGATTACAGGTGTTTTTGCCACCATACCTGGCAGAAATTTTTTTATTTCTAATTTGAGTTCAATGTACTTGTGAGCAGGGGCTGATTTATAATTTGCCTACATTCTCTTTCATGAAATTTAGGAAATAAAAATAAAAATAATTCAAATAAAAAATAGAGATTGGAGCCAGGCTTGGCAGCACAAGCCTGTAAACCTAGTGGCTCAGGAGGCTGAGGCAAGAGGATTGCAAGTTCAAGGCCAGCCACAGCTACTTAGCAAGACCCTGTCTCAAAATAAAAAACAGAAAAAAAGGACTGGGGATGTTTCTCTGTGTAAAGCACACCTGGTTCAATTCCCAGTTACCTCCCTTAAAAAAAAAAAAAAAAGATTGGAGGTGTAGGTGTTTAAGGGTAGTAATATATGTTAGTATCTTGGAACCTTGGAAAGGAGCAGGATAAGAGACTGTGTAAAAATAAAAACCAAAAATCTTTTAAAAAAAAGTTAAAAAAATGTACCATAAATTTATGATTTTAATAATACAGGGAAAAAAGTTTATTTTAATCCCATTGCCCTAACACAGTGACTCTTTTTTTTTAATTTTATTTATTTTTTAGGTGTAGATGGACATAACACAATGCCTTTATTTTCATGTGGTGCTGAGGATCGAACCTGGTCCCGCCCGTGCTAGGCGAGCGCTCTACCGCTGAGCCACAATCCCAGCCCACACAATGACTCTTAAACTGACTTTTAAACTAAAGCCAAGATTAAATTAAAATTAAATAGAAACTTCTGCTGTGACCTTCTTAAACAGCGATTAAGGGAGAACAGAACAGTGAATCAGGACTTCAAATCTTGACTAAGCAGGGTATCTCTGGGAAAGTCACGTTACTTCTGTTCCATTACCTATGAATTAATAACTGCGACCTGCCTTCTTCAGCAACAAGAGAAACCATAGTACTCCGTGCCCTGGGGCTCCCCCAGAGTGGGCAAAGATGTTCTCTTCAGACCTAACTGGGCTTACCAACCCATCCAGATGTAACAGCACCTCTTGGGTTCTAACAATACACCAGCCACTCCCACCTCAGGGTCCACACCGGCTGTTTCCAGTCCTCTCTGAACTGCCTCCTTCTACTCTCTAGTCACTTTTCCCAGATGCCCTCCCAATCTCTGACTAGGTCCTTCTCTGCTTTTATTTGTTTCCTTCAGGGGTCTTACTGCCATTAAGTGGTATGTTGTTTTTTGTTAATTCCTTGGACAGGGACTCCAAGCTGGATGGAAATCAATCTTATTCTCTACTCTCACTGGCTCCCGGAACAGCACCTGGTACTCTAGGTATACAAATGGCTTATTGTTTGAAAGAGAAGTGGAGGTGGGGTGGGGCAGGAGAGAAGATGATTCTAAGGAACCTTGATTCTCTCTCCTTGACTGTTCCCAAGGACTGTTCCCAAGCAATGTCATGCAAACTCCTTTTGACGAAGTGCTGGGACAGCAGGAGTGGTAGTAGCCCTGCCTCTACTGGGTGCTGTCAGGCGAGCTCTGCTCTCCCAGCCACCCTGCATTGGCAACAGGAAGACAGACACCTCCTGACTACCATGCCCTTGTGCACGGCAACAGCCACATCAAGAAGTGTGGGAAGCTTGGAAAGACAAGAAAGTTCCAGGAGAGTCTGGAACTATTCACAGCACACTCAATCACAAGCTTCTGTCCTCTCCCAGCAGGAAACTGCCCACACGAGTGATGACCCTCTAGAGACAAACCCCAGCTCTCGGTGCCCAGCAGACCGGCCTTGGACGATCCTCTCCAGCTGATCTTGCTTATCTTGACTCCTGGACAGCCTGCCCCTTGTCTCCCCTTAAAATTTCTGTCTACTTGAGCCTGCTCTGCTTGGATATCCTGAAGGTCATCTCGTCCCTAAAGTCTGCCTTGACTCCCTCCATATTCCCATCACAGTCCTATCCTCTAAACAGCCCATCTAGTCCACCTACATCTTTCCAGGCACGGGATGCAGGCAGGCTTTAGCTACTTTTAAGTCTTCTCTCCCCAGGATGTCAGTAATAGCAGCAGCTGACCCTTAATGCCTCCTCCCTACCATGTACACCTTTCTTCCTGCTAAGACTATAGTCAGGATATCACCACTTCTGTTTGCAAGTGAGGAAACCGAGAGGTTAGCACCTAGTCCAGTCTCACAGCTCTAGTGGCAGCCTGGGGTCTGAACCCCAGCATTCTGACCCTGAACTATGCTCTAACTACAGGTCTGTATGACTTCTGGGGTGTGGGCTTCTCATTGTGCCTAGCTCAGCCACACCCATGTAGGCTTAATAAACGCTATTCTTTTGCATTCCAAGGAAGCAACATAGCCAGTGTGAATTATCAATGCAAGCAATTCAATAAAAGGCTTCCAAATCACCTACTATGAGCTTAGTGGGTGCTCTCAGGGAGTAAACACCAGCTCTGTGCTTATTAGTATTAGGGACCTTGTAATTGCGCAAAGAAGAGAAAAATAAAAATCTTATTTGTTAAAGCAACCAAATAGATACCATATCTGTTCAGGGAAGTCTTGAGAATTTCCTTAGACAAAGCACAAAGAATAGGATCTTAAGACCCCCTGCTAGTTAGATAACAGCTAATCTTTGAAATACACAGGCTGACCAATACACCAGCTTCCTGGAACCAACTGAGGAGCAGAGCTGAAAGAAATCCCTGGCCAAGAAATGTCTGGGGACTCTAAGGGATGGGGCACAGGAGATCCTACCTGAGGCCACCACCAATTCCAAAACAGAGAAAAGTGAGAAGCCACGGTGCGAGCTCCCCCATCCCTGTCCTCTCTAACTCTCGGAGACTGAAACCAGGACCAGGGTAGAAAGGTTTTCGGGACAGCTAGGTCCTGAGAAGAAACACTGGCCACAGTGACGGAGAGTTGAGGTCTTCACAGTAGAGAGGTGCACTCACTCTTACCTTCAGGGACAGTGAATTGTTCTGTGGAAGCTGGGATTCTTTCCCTGGCCAACACAGGCCAGGCTTGGCTCAGTCCTCACAGCCAAATGGGAGTTTAAAAGGCAGCAGCTCTCCACCTGGGGGGCCTAGGGGTGGGAGCACACCCGGGTGAGGCTGACTTCACTGAGGAACTGGCCCACTCCCAGACTGCCCGGCCAGGACGCCACCGCCTGTCTGTAGCCTGGCGCCTCTCCCTGAGGGGCCCCACCCAGCCCCGCCAGGCTTCCAGAACCAGGGCAGGAGTGGGTAGGGATGAGGTCTGCCCAACTCCTAGTGAGGCCTGCTTGGCCTTGGTTCCCTAACCCTTCCCCAGCCTGGACTGGGTCTGAAGCTGCTGCTTCCTGCTTTGCTGTTTTCTTTCACTTTGGTTTTTGACTCCAAAGTGAAACTAAAGGCTGAGACGACGTGGGAAAGATGGTGAGCACTAAGGACTGGGAGAGTTGAACACCTGGCTTCTAATCCCAACAAGAGGGCAGGCCTCAGTTTTCACACTGACAAAATGGGAGGGCGGAACAAAGATAGGGACTTTAAACATCAGACTTTCCCTTCCTCAGCCCTAACACTACTGGGGGATAAACAGGAGCTGCAGAGATGAGCCATGGGTGGCCCAAAGCACCCTGTTAGCCTGTGAGAGGAGGCAAACTCTGGCAGCAGTGTAGACATCCTATTGGTCTCCTGGATTACCTCTCCCCTATCTGCCATATGAGCTCCTTCATCCTGTGCTGACACTCAAAGGTTCGGGCAAACTGGGGTGGAGCAAATTCAGAAGGCAGAACAAATTCAGGGGACCATGTGTTGGCACAGTGAGAGGGGACACCTGCTATGGGCTGCCCTTGAATTCCCAACCTCAGGGCTGATCTAAAGCAGCCCACTTGGAACCGGTCCAAACTTCAAACTGACCCTAGAGTATCTACATGGTACACCTAGCTAGGACCACTGCATGGGAATCTGTTTTAGGATATTCCCCACTGGCTGCTTTATCAAATATTTATAAGAGCCCAGAGACAAGAAAAAGGCAAGTAGGAGCCTCCCAAACATTCAGCTGAGGGAAACTGAGACTCAGAGGTAGGCAGGGGCAGTGGCTAAGCCAGCATGGGGATTTGGGAGCTTGGTAATATTTAAATGTCTCACCTGCCTAGCTGTTGCCAAGCAAGTACAACGCACACATGAGAGGCTCATGAAAGACTACAAGTGGGAGGGAGGAGGGTCTGTCCCTGGAGCCTCCTGACCTGTGCCCCAACCTAAATTTCAAACTTTAAAAATAAACTACCTGGGTTGGGGATGTGGCTCAAGCGGTAGTGCACTCGCCTGGCATGCGTGTGGCCCGGGTTCGATCCTCAGCACCACATACAAACAAAGATGTTGTGTCCGCCGAGAACTAAAAAATAAGTATTAAAAAAAAAAATCTCTCTGTCTCTCTCTCTCTCTCTTAAAAAAAAAAATACCTGATGAAAAAATTAGTGTCTTTCCCACCTGTATAGTCACTATCAACAGATTTGATATTTCCAAATATCAAAACAGGTCCCAAGGGGGCTGGGGATGTGGCTCAAGCGGTAGCGCGCTC